ACTGAGGATTTACTGATGGGGACCTTTTCTTGGGGGGATACACAACGCATGTCTATGGGGATATAGGGGTATGCTTGGAATTGTTAAACAAGACACAGTTTTCACATTTCATGACAAGCACAGTCAGCCTGTTGACAGGGCCCTTTCACAACCAGTGAGGACTATTGTCTACAGTCAAACACCAAGAGGATTTAAGTGATCCCATTAGGTTTCATTAGAGTACACTCTCACCATGTCAGGGGTAAAGATACTGCGCTGTGGAGAAGGGAACTACATCTGAAAGCTCAACTGGGATACCCCCATTGCCCAAGAGAAACAACAAAGGTGGGAATCCCTGGATACAGTCTCTAAAAATTAATAAGCATTAGAACAACTTCCAGATACCATTCTCTTACACCGCAAGCATCCTAAAAAACGCGCCAGACAGAAGAGAAATTTCATGGTCTTTCTCAGATGCATTCAACGAAGCCAATTGCTGTCGGTGGACCATACTCCGAGCTATGGATTCCAAGCTGGTAAAGTGGGTGTAGGATTCTATCAGTGGGGTAGGGGGAAGGGACCAAGCTCACACCAAAACCTGCACGTACTATTTCAAGGGCTTGAAACTTTGGGTGTGCAGCTTTGATAGTAGCTGTGGAAATTGCTGAGCTTATAAAACTTGAAACAGATCGAGTTGAAATAGACCTCCTTTGACTTTTAATACAGGACGGCAAAATATAGTGCTAGGATATATACACACAATCGCACAATACAGTTGAATACGTGTATGTTTGGCAACATTTGAGTTGGAACTGCAACAGGAAGTTCCTCCTACGCTGACAACCAATGGCAGGAATATGTTCCCACAAGCCTTAACCCTACTGGACTGCGCGGCAGTCGTGCAGTACCCATACTACTGCTATTCCTGGACAAATCTGGGGCTTTAATCCACCATGAAAGAAGGTTCTGGCACACCGTTATGACTGGAGGGAGCCTGGTGGGGGGAACGGGTAACTGGGGATATGTGTGGCACAAAGTGGGTGGACCACGAGACTGAGTGGGGCGGCGGGGGATTTAAGGGGAGGGTAAAGTTAGGGGAATCGAAATGCATGTAATGCTTGAAAATCTCCCCTCCTGAAATATCCGAACTAAGAAATCCCTGTCTCAGCTAAGGGGGGTTTAGACCACAACATCTGATGGGGGGGTGGGGTGGTGGGGATAGGAGTGGGGAGGAGTGGGGCGGTTCTAAAGCCCTTGGAGGCGGGTCTATGGGTGTGTAGAGGCTGGATTCCTGGGAAAGAAACCTGCGAGGGGAGTGGGGGGGTGGGGGGGGGGGGGGGGGGGGGGGGGGGGAACCTGGGTGATGCATTGGGTGGTTACACCCAATGTATGGCAATTAATAAGTTGTACTCCCGTATATCCCAAGGGTTTATGGAGTTGGGGGGTAACACATTAATAAGGTAACACATGTAGATCTCACATACAAATTGAAGGGTGGGGATACATGGCTATTATTACATTGTGATGGGGGGGGGGTGGCTTTTAGATAGTATTAACTTTCTTAAATGGTTATATCCAAACATGAAGTGGGAAAATCTACCAACTAGGTGGGGGTGGGGTTATATGCCAGTAATGCTGGGTAAACTCATAAAGATTCATTACAGGGCTCATACAAAATATTATGTGGAACATGGGGGTGGTAAGAGTTAAAGTCAAAGTTTGTCTTGAGGTGGAAAGGTGTATTTTCCCGGCATAAGACTAGCCATGGGGGGGTAGATTTTTGATAATACATGGTTGGTGCTAAATTTTTTGGGCTGGTATATACTAATGCATGGCGTAGGTCATTTATATCGTCAGCAATAAAATGACTCTAGTTTTTAAAAGTAAATGCGCACTAAAAGTCTGTTCCCCGGCAATATTATGATTAATTCATTCTAATAGTTTTAATTATGCAGTGTTGCTACATGGCCATCCATACTAATAGCTATTCAGTTTGCTATTAGTTAAATCCAATCGGCCCCGAAAAGATACCATTATTGCACGTTTTCATGATCCAAATGTTCAAAACGTATTTCTAAGGGAACGAATGGGAACAGCTAATCGCAGAGACTTATGTTTTCCATCGTTGAAATAAGTGTGCAAAACCCATGCTCACGGTCAAGGAAATGTGTACAACCAGGAATTGCAGCAAAAACAGGATTCCATGATAGCATAGAATCCACCTAAGCTACATCATGAACAATGAGAAAAAGCCGTAACATTAAGTGCGATTCAAGAGTATTGCTGACTTATTATGCATCTTAAGGATAACAGCAAGGTCATTTGTACAATGCCTACAAAAAGGGCGAGCTCAAGCAGGCGACCGGCCGAATTCTCATGGAGCAATCGTAATTAATCCGTGGCTCTACTATTATCTAGTTAACCAATGACTTAGGAACACTCAACAGGTCAACGCAACATAATATCAACGGTTATTCCATGGACAACGGGTCCATGGGGTACCTACACATTCAAGTATACTAATGCCCGTATACTTGGGATAATCCCAATTACAATAGGGACAAGCAACACATCTTACCGCACTATAACACCTCCAAGCATCGAGACGTATTGCCATCCTTATATATAACCATTCGGGTATTCAAATTGCTATCCTAATATTCATACTACAATTAACTATAAATAGTCTTGTGTATACAATACTGGTCTTGGGGGGGATAATGCTACATATCAAAAACTGAAGCCTGGGAGGTACACGCATAATTACCTCCATAATCACAGGAGGGTGACAACATTCACATCAGCCAGAGCACATCCTCATAGACTCTTTGCAATGCGTAAAACATATAGACTCGCTCCGGACTTTGAACTAACAAGGCCATTATTGTACTTCAAATAAATAATGTACAACACTGGGCAAAGTTGTGATACGCTTACTAAGGGAATTCGTCAAAAAACTTTGGATGGATCACGACTATTATGCCCATGTGACAATGACGTATTACTTTCCCCTCTGCAAAGTCTGTACCACACTGTTTGGGGAATACAGTAAGTCATGCAATCACAATCCAGTTAGATACACCGATGCCACGGGGACTTATGCAGTGTTTAACATATGAATGTCTACACCCTAACATTTCATACTACATAATGATTCGGGGGATAGACCAAATCTAAGACGATAGACACAACTTATGACTAGTCACAGTTCCAGCCCCCAAACTGTACTACATCCAAATAAATTTAAATGAGAAGCTCGATTGAAAAATATGGGTATGATTATCAATTATCCGTTAATGATATGCTTAAAGCTCTGCTCTTAATAGTTCGCATATACTGAAGCTCTACTTTCAGCACAAGTGGGGACAGTTTGGCGAGTGTCCTTGTATATAAATAGCCTAATCCGTCACTATCAACCAAGGTGGAGCAAACTATGCGACTATTATTAAAAAGACTGTCTCAACATAATTTACTGTCGTTCTTTATGCAAATGCTAGTTACTTACTACTCTTCACCTCCTTACGTGCAGGCAGTCCTTTTATCATCACTTGAGATGGGCATGGGCATTAATGAAAAAGTGTTGCTCACAATGTCTCGATAACGCTGTTGAGATCACAGCCACATGAAAAACGCAGCACTAAATTAAGAGTCTATTGACACAACATTTGTGCATACGTGGAATCTTAATAAGAATGTTCTGTGGTCCGTTTTAGGCTACCACGTTGTGAAGTACATTGGAAGAGGAACTCTGCACGATGTACTTAGGTATGACCCGGTGACATCATTAGTCATCCTGTCGAACCATCGCCATATACACGGTCATCAAGACCTAAGCCATAGGGATCGTATGTTGGTAGACATACGCTGTATGTAACAGGCAATGTTACAGACACCAGCGGACCTCTAGTAATAATTCCATTTCTCACCACAATGACCATTTAACATTCCTTAGTGTCCCCAAAAGTATATGAAATAAAAATTATCAAAAAACACAATCATCATAAATTTGAACCCAGTGTTGCAAACATACGCATTCACCCCTCCCTAAATTCATTCTGATCCACACAGCCGCGCACTCATATACTCGTGGTTCTCACTGAAATTATTCTCAGAAACCTCATACCTGGCTTATTCATCATCATCAGTCCGAATCATTAACCTTACCCTGGGGCCTAGGAAAGCCTGTCCCTATCGTGCAAGAAGGCCGGGTTCACACATGCCACAGTGTAGCTTCGTAGGTAGACACAGTTCCCAAGCTACACCATAAGCACTTTAAGATCAAAAGCAGCCGCGAATCAGAAAACCACCATTTACAACACTCTTTAGTAATAAACAATATCTGATATAACTTTTTATGCTACACCATGAGGTGGGGTAACATGCGGTAACAGCCAAACCAACAGCCTCAATAACGGATCACAAATGTGCCCAAAAAACATCTGGCCCGCACCCACAAACAACCACCAATGTGCCCTCCACACATCCCAACAAATAATCCACACCCTGGGAAATGGTGTTCATTTCCAAACTTGTCAACGCTGCTCATGCCCCGGGAAACCTCCCTGACACACCAAGTGCACTATCCCACCACCCTCCACCAGGACCCAACAAACATCCACGCGGTGGCCCCCGTCAATGATGTACCTCTAGGTTAGGGTACAAGATTGTGCGGGTATCGCGGTCCGTCCCACGTCGCAGGCCAGTCTAACAGAACCAACCCAACCAACCCTAAACTCTTCCCCTCCACACCCCCAACATTATAATAAAATAAACCAGCTCATCTTCCAATCTGGTTCAACAGGTCCAGCAGCTCATATGCCAACGCCCCTGGGCGGAGGGCATACATTGTGAGATAAGGGCACTCCTTATTAGCCTAATGTATGGTAAATAAACATGAAAAACAGAAAGCTGCAATGGGGGGTGTAGGTGATCTAGGGTTACCACCTCATCCCCTTAAAACCTGAACATATTAATTACACAGGTTTAATGCAGATAAATCACAACGTGAGTTTAAATTACTACCTTAACCTCCCTGGTGGTATTCCCGAGTGTAGCTCGGGGTAAAGTTTCAGTACCACAAGCAGTAACCCCCGAGCTACACTCGGGCTTACCATGCGGTGCTGCTCCGGGATCCCTCGATCACTTACCTTATCCTGCGCTCCCGCGATGTCCCTCCTGCAGTGTCCTCGTAATCCGGTGGATGCCGGCATCTGTCATCTGGGTTCCGTCCCCTGCGAGCGTTGGGACGTACGGGGGATGGAACGGTGGAAAATTTGAAAATGACAAAAAGTGACATTCACTAAAATCACATAGTAAAACATTACTGTATCAAACCATTTCACATACATTTTGTCCCTAGTGCTTTGTCCTGTCCCCTGCCTGCATTTTTACTGTTCTTTCTGTCTGGAAACTGAGAAACGTCCATGGTGTCCAAAAGTGTCCCTTTAGGTCAAAAGCGGTTTTAGACCAGCTAGAGAACAGCGATAGTAAAATCAGAACCACTTGCAGAATTGAGTGATAATGATTTGTGGGGAAATTCGTCATCAGACACTGAAAACGATTTTGCAACTTTGCTCAGTGATGTGTGAACTTGGCGCTCTATTTCAAATTTCAGTGTTTTTGGTTTGATTATATTATTGAATTAAATTTATTATTATTATATGATTATTTTTTATGATTATTTATTAAATTATAATTTATGAATTTGTGTTTCAAATTTTATCATACCCGGGATGTTTACTAGACTCTTGTTTAGACAGATTTCAGTGAGTTATTCCTAAAAATTACAGGCCTACAATAAAAAAAATGACATATTTCCATGCAAAAAAAGTACCGCTTTAAGCACAGAAATACTGACATAATCAGACCGCTAGGGAGGTTAAACAGCCACAGAACCTGTGTAATTAATCAGTTTTAAAGGGATGAGGTGGCAACCCTAACGTGATCAATCCAACATAAATACAATTCTGAAGGTAGCTTAATGCTTGGCAGCTAGATCCACAATTTTTCAATCCTTTGCAGCAGGGGTGGGCAACTGTAGCCCTCCAACTGTTGTTAAAATACATGTCCCATGAGGCATTGCAAAACCGACAGTTACAAGTGTGACTCTCAGAAGTAGAGGCATGATGGGAAGACTGACAGCTAGCCCTGGTTCACACTGGATGCAACTTGGCATGCGATTTGCAAATTGCATGCCAAGTCGCACCCTATTCTCCGCAATTGGAGTGGTCATATTGGTGCGGTTCCGACTTGGTCAGATCCGCACCGAATTCAAAAGTATAACATGCACTACTATTGGTGCGAATTGCATAGACATCTGTACAGGGCCAATCAACGCTGTCCAGACAGAGGTCAGGGGTTATGCAGCCTCATAGGACAATAAGGGGGAGAATGAAAACTCCTCATACAAGCTTTAACCAGTGCTCTGCTGGACAATGATAGAAGTCAGAAGACTGCTCTAACTGAGAAAAGGTATTTAGCAGTTTTCTATTTACTAAAATAATTGCATTTCCATGTTCTGTGTACAGTGGAAGACCAGATATAGTGAATGCAGGGTCCTTGGTATAGTAACATTTTAATGTACAGATGGTGCCATGCACAAGTTTGATTGGGTTCTTAAACTCTCATTCCATTTTGTTTATTACATATAAATGACATACTTGCTGTAATAAAGCATATTGATTGTGCTTTACTGTGCCTCTCCCTTAGGTCTCATGCACACTGGCAATGACATACCTGCTTACGAGTTTATATTAGTTTATAAGAAAATTCCAAAATCATTCTGTATAAAAGCATGTAATGATTTTTAAATAGAATAGTTTCCACCTGCCCTTACCTGTATTCAGGTGAATTCTGTTTAGCTGTGTTTAGAAAAAATACAATTGAGTGCATCCAGTGGACTCTGAACCCATCTAAATGAATGTTAACACGTAAATATGCATAAAAGTTTGGAAATGCAAGTACATTCAAAGGATATTTATGGTCAAAGTGTTCAATTATTTCTTGCCTACTCCTATTAATCTAAACATTATTGAAGTTTGTAAAATCACGTAGTGAAGATCCCCACACATTTACTTCCATGAATTCTGCCTTCTGAACTACAGAGGTGCTGAGAGGAGGAGTTTCAGGAGGCGGAGTCAGGTTAGGAGTCACTGCTTGCAGGCAGTAAGGTACCATGGGATATGTAGTCCTTAGAAATTGAATTTAGACAGCAGAGGAGAAAAAAACTACAAAGAATGCAAGCATGCAGGGAATCCAGGAAGTTGAGGAAAGAGATGGCTAGCAGACAGGTAAGAGAACATGAAAGGAGATTTTTCAAATAAGCTTACTTTTTATATTGGATTGTTATTACAATGGTGATGTTATAAAATGTAAGTGTATGCTCGGACCTTTTAAAGTGATATTAAAGGCAATTTTTAAAAAAATAACAAATATGTCATAATTACTCTGTGCAATGGTTTTTTGCGCAGAGCAACCTCGATTCTCCTCCTCTTCTCAGGTCCCCCAATGGCACTCCTGGCCCCTCCCTACAGCTGAGTGCCTCTAGAGCAAGCAGCTTGCTATGGGGGCACTCAAGCAGGCTCCCTCTTGAGCTTCTGCTCTTGCTCTGCATTTCCATTCACACACACAGACGCGGATTTGCTCCACCCCACTCTCTCTCCTCATTGGCTCACTGGCTGTGATTGACAGTAGGTCAATGGCTCCAACTGCTGTCTCAGCCAATGAGGAGGAAAAGTCCTTGGAAGCCAGCGCTCCCGTGCACATCACTGGATCATTATCGGGCTCAGGTAAGTATTAGGGGGGCTGCTGCACACAAAAAAGGTTTTTTACCTTCATGCATAGAATGCATGAAGTTAAAAAACCTTCAGCCTTTGCAACCACTTTAACTACATTAACCACTTGCCGACTGTCCACAGCACTTTTACTATGGGCGGCTGGCATGTACAGGCAAGGGTACTTACCCAAAATAAAATAAACAGTAAGCGCTCAATACTGATGGTAGCAGCTGAACATACAGGAAAACGCATAAGAAGTCCCACAATACATAAATATATAAATGCAGCGCTTAAGAGTGATAAACACAGTCCGGTGAAAGGAGTGCTCCGTGATTCCTAGTGCACTAGGAATCACGGAGCACTCCTTTTACCGGACTGTGTTTATCACTCTTAAGCGCTGCATTTATATATTTAAGGGTACTTACCCGTACATCATTTTGCCTGTACTGACAGAGGAGGGTACTGCCCTCCTCCCCCCATGACCATTGTGTCCACCAGACACAGCGGAATGCGGTTCCTGGTACTCTGGACCCGGTGATTACAATGTCATATTTATGATTTTTCTTTCATAACAGCTCTGCTTCTGATACCAGTGATCTGTGATTGGCCCACAGCTATCACAAGGTATCTGGGCCAGTCAGAACATCCTGTACCATGTGGTTAACTGTAGCCAATCACAGATAACTAGTATTCAGAGCTGTCATGAACCTATTCATAAGAGTTCAAAGCATTGCTGTACAGTAATCTTCATTGTACTAGCAAAGTGTAAAAAAAAATTCCTGATCACCCCCCCAGAGTAGTACAATGTTACTGTGGTAACAATGAACTACTCTGATAAAATTACAAAAAAAATTGTTAAAAAATACTGTTAAAAAATATTTAAAATATTAAATAAAAAAAAATTATTTAAATTTTTTTTTATTTTATTTTTTTTTTACCTTGTTCATGACTAGATCATTTTTGCTATTAAGCACTGTGCTACTTTAATTGGCAATTGCACAGCCATGCAATACTGTACCCAAATGAAATTAACAAATCAAATCCAATAAAATCAAATTTGCTAATAAATTTAGGCCAAAATGCATTCTGTTACATGTCTTTGGTAATCCCAATAAGTGTATATTAATTAGTTTGTGTGAATGTTATAGTATCTACAAACTATGGGATATATATTTGAAAACTGATAAATCTTGATGCACTGACTCTCATTTCTTGAGGCCCCAAAATGAAAGGAAAATTGGAAATTAAATAAAATTAGTTTTTTTTCACATTTTGTTTTTTTTTTTTCACATACTGTCACCAGTAAGACTGGTGTGACAGTGATCAGGGATACTGACTGGCAGTAATTTTTATTCAATTTCTTTCAAACAAATATTTTCTTTTTTTACTATTTTTTTTTTACATCCCGTCATCAGAGTAGCTTAGTGTCACCATAGTGACATGTTGTCTTAAAATAATGAAGTCCACACAGAAACAGTTCATAAGACAAATCTGTTGTCTTATATCAATAATGGAGGACGTATGACCAGTGTATATTTATATATGTACTATTCCCGCAGCAACCAATAGTCCTTTTCCAGAGAGATGCATTTATTCGGATAAAGATATTTGTTACAGATGACAGAAATCCAGCTGAATATTTGTAAAGGTTACAATGAACAACAGCTCTCAAAGTCCTATTCAAGATACCTCATATCAAGCATAGAGATACTACACACCATCCAGCATATGTCCAATCTATAATATGCACCTAGGTAGCTGCCATACAACCTGTATTCTGTCCCATGTATCCTGACCTGTGCTCTATCCCATGTATTCTATCCTGTGTTCTGTGTCCTGTGTTAATATACACATTTTCCCCATTCAGTACAATGGCAAGCACTCTGATTGGCCACTTTTAGTATCATGTTTGATCTTATGTGTCTAGACCTAGAAACTTCCCCTGACTTCCCATATATTTACCCAAAAACAGGTTAACCCAACACAACACAGGGAAGGTAATTACTTCCTGCATACATTAACATAGTAAGGTGTCCTTTTGGTGTGTAAAGTGGTCTTATCACTGGCCTGTCAGTATGTGTTTCATTGTCTTCAATATATATATTACACACAATATACTACATGACACTGTACAACTCTTGGGGGATCAAGGATTTTTTTCTTTTTTTACACTGTTATTGCTTATACAGTGATGATCACTGTATAAGCAATAGTTGTATCTTAATGCAGGCCTCAGTGAGCCAATCACACAAGCAATAAATAACATTTCTGAGGAAGTTCTGTACACCGACTGTGCACGGAAGGCATTCAAGTTGCCATATTGCATTGAATTTTACAGAAAATTATGGCGGCTGCACATTGAAAGGGAATGGTAATTTTAAATAACGTTAAATCACAATGTGGCATGCGTAGCAAGTGTATAGATAATTTTTTACTACATTTGTTTTCATAAAAGTGGTTACCCTTTATACATAAGGAAGAGTTGACCTTTAAATAGTTCCCACTCGGCCTATAATAAAATGACGGCTAGGCAGGACTTTTGTCAATCATATGACATCCTCCTCGGTCGCCAC